CATGCAATGATGTACCGTGTAGTTTTTGTCATCCACTTTTACTGATAAGGTTTGCCATACTTTCATTAGCACACTTGAATCATCAATTTGATGAAAATCTAGAAGATGTTGATAAATGATAATCTCGTTTCCAATATATGACCAGGGAATGACATGGCTTCTTCCAGAGCGGTTTGCTACATCAGAAATCGGGCCAGAAGCAGGTTTATTTGAAATTTTGGTAACATTGAGCTTCTTCTTTCTGATTATAAACTCAGCGTAATACATTGTTTCTTTTCAAAATAAGTCTACCATTCTTTATCTTCTGTGAAAGTAATGCACAATTGGCAGTTAATATTTCTGTTTTCATCTTGTGGAAGTTTTGCACTTCTTAATCAACCAACTTTGGATATTGAGTTTTCTAATTCTCTTAATATAATGTTTTTCTACCCTTTTTTTAGTGTTTTCGTGAACACCTTGTAATGTAGATAAGTAATTGCTTTAGCTATGTTGGTTTTCCTACCTCACATGGCTATGTATATTTATTGCGCCCTATTTTTGGCAGTCTCCTCGATCCTTGGAATGGTTACCACAGTAAATGAGCATATTATAGAGACAACTCCAACTTCGGGGGTGCATACTAGTTCTGCAGAGACTTCGTTTCTCCCTTTATCATTATGCCTTACTTTGTTGAGAGACTTGGAAACATTAATTGAAGTAGTAGCTGAGCAGCTCTATGGCGAAGATAAAAAATGGAATTTGATTGCTCTTACAGAGGCTGCCAAGTAAGTGATATATTTAACTTTAACACAGCTTATTTACTTAAACATTTGATGATTTTTTATTAAAATATGACAATTTGTTTTGAATGGATGCCAGGGTGTGCGTGAGACTGGCTGTGTTCAGAACTACAGGATATAAACTGCTTTTGCAAGGTGGGGAGACTGAGAATTTGGAACATTTAGATGATTTGAGTCCCCCAGGAAACATGGGGCACTTAAGGAAGCCTATCCAAAATCAAGGACTGGGTGTCAGTCACCCTCAGGGTTTGAACTCGTGGAATCTTGAGGGTAGGGCAATGTCCGCCTTAAGTAGATTTGGTCAGAATGCTAGGATGGTTTCTGAGCCGACTTGGTTGCGCAGAGTTCAACAGCAGCAAGCAATTTTGGAACCTCCAGGTAATTGCTGGTTTCAGCTAAATTCAGACTACTTCTGATGATGACACCATAATTTTCTAATATGTTATCTTCCTTGTATTATTACAGCTAAGATAATCAGAAATCCGAGTCTGTCAACCTTCTTATCTGAGAAGGGTATTCGTGGAGGGTTATTTGTGACTGGGGAGACTATGTTTGTCCTAAGACCACTTATATATGTCTTGCTGGTAAGGAAGTATGGAACACGATCATGGTTTCCGTGGTTCATTTCCTTGGCTGTCGATCTCATAGGAAACAGCATGCTATCAGCCACAACAATGTCCCAAGACAGCAGGAAAGATCAGCATTTTCAATTTTCTAAATCAGAGAAGGATGAGGTAAGGAATATTATTGATCATTGCACAGAATCTTTGTATATATACCCACACCCCACCCCACCCCAAATAAAAGATGGCCTCTATCCCCTCGAAAAGGAAAAGTAAGAGTCATACTGTTCCGGTACCCAATCTCATATAAAGCATTCTGCATTGTTGCTTCAGACACATTTTTTTCAATGGTAGATGAAACAGCGTGTTATTTGGTGTCTCTCACTCTGTCTTGACTGTCCTGGAAATCACAGTTCTTGAACCAATCTGCTGCATATCTTATGTTTTTTATATGGCAAAAACCCCATCTCCCTGGGGGCTAATTGTGTATTTTTTCCAGTCCCCGCTTGGTGATTCATACTTCCAGACTGAGGAGGAGAGCCCTTTCCACTAGGAATCCTTCACTTATCAATCTGTGTTTCTTATTTTGTCTTGGGGAAACTGCAGATTCTCATTCCAATTCTTACTTGCTTTCACACCCTTTATTCCATTTCAAGATCCATTTATTTTGTTCAATAGCTTTTGAGTTTATCCATTGCAGCTAGTGCCGGCAAAATGAGCCCATATTTTGGTAACCTGCCCATATTTAAATGGCTTGGGTGAGTGATTTTTTGCATGGGTAAAATATGGGTAAGCTATGGGTATAATATGGGTAAAGAATAGATTAGTCAAATGGGTTAAGCTGCTAACTTCTATTCACTATAAATTTCATGATATCACTAAAAATATTGTAATTTCTCTTGCTTTTTATGTTCTTCCATAGAACTAATTACTTTTCACTATAATTGAAAAGCTGAAGTCTTTGACCCTCCAAAAATATATATTTTATATGTACATTTCTTTTGTTACTTATAATTATATTTTTTTATTTGTTTAATTTTATATTGGATAATAGATAATAGTGTAAAATAAGCAAATCATGCATTATTATTGACACTGCTTAAAGTGCATTAGTGTTTTAGTCCTAAAATGCAAATATTCATTTATTTTGAAATTAAAAACATTTTTCCCTTGTTAATACATAATTTTATTTTATATTGAAAAGTTATAAGATTCTTTTTTTACTTTTATGATGCAATAAAACTAAATGAAGCATTTTCAACATTTTTCATCTAAAAAAACTAAAATATTTTCTCGATGCTGAATTCTTAAGTGGAGTACTATTTACTCATGAAAATATGGGTAAACTAATATTCTTTATCAAAAAAAAAAAAAGTGGGTAAACTAATATTTTACCCAATTCATTTCTTATTCAATCCATTTTTACCCATATCAAATATGGGTGGGTTGAGTTATTACCCATTTTATGTTAACTCATTTTCAACCTGTCCAAATTTTTGACCCGCCCCGCCCATTTGCCACCACTAATTGCAGCAATATAACTTTCTTCATTAAATGATATGTTTTACTCCAAACACTGCAGGTAAAAAGAAGGAAGCTGTTGTGGGTGCTTTACCTCATGCGAGATCCATTTTTCTCCAAATACACCCGGTAAAGATACTCTTTTCCTGTAATTCTGGTTAATTGCTTCATATCATAAAACAGCGGAGAAGATAACTAAAACGGGGATCAAAGCAAATTCTAACACCTTAAAATTATTTCAGGCGAAGACTTGAAAGCACTCAAAAGACCGTAGAACCTGTTCCTGTAGTTGGATTTTTCGCAGGTATTTGTAACTCATTTTCCTGCCAAGTTTCAAAAGTTGATTCATTAGACATTGTTGATGTAAAAATTGACACTGTCCTTCTTTACAAAAATGTATTTTCCTCCATGTGCAGAAAAACTTATTGAACTCCTCATTGGAGCCCAGACTAGATACACTTACATGTCTGGTTCTTGAAGGGAAGCTACTGAATGTGTGTTATGCATTCTTTGTTATTTGACAATGGGGAACAAACTTCTCTTTGTTTTCTTCAGTTGTAGCATTTTGATATCATGATCTTTGAAAAGGTGTAGCAGTGCTGAAATTTAGAACTAATAAAGGTGTATAATTTTGTTCTTATCTACAAGTGCATTTAGGTTCTATGCTGCATCAGTGGTGCGGGCTCTTCCACTTTTGATGTCGTACTCCTTTTAATTCTCCTAATATATATACTTTGGTGAATCTGACACATACAATTTAATATTTCTGATGAGTTAGAGCAATATAGATAGCCTGCTGCTAAGGATTTAAATTATACGGATTGAAGTCTGATGAATATCTATACCAGCATTAGTTGACTCGCATTATTTTTTAGTTTAATTTCATTAGTATAGACGGGGTAATCCATAATTTTTTACTTCGTTGATGTGGAAACGACCCATAAATTAGAAAGTGAAAAGGAGCTATGTGTTTTTAAGAAACCTACTATATTTGAATCATAAAACAATTTAATGGGATTTTTTTCACTGGGATCCTTGGTGAATAGTTTTGGCAGTAATTTTTGAGCGTGAAGACGACTCTCTAGAAGGTAACTGGATTTTATTGCTGGTAAATTGGTCCTCGCCTTTGGTTTAATTTGCGGGTTAAATTATTTCAAAGTAAAGACTTTCCATCATGAATCTGGATTATGATGCTTTATCACCTATAATAAGACTTTTTAGTGAGAATTCATATTAACCAAACATTAAAATAGATATCAAACACTGAAATGATTAAAAAATGTATGATAATATAATTTGTGTCTTTTTTTCAATTACTCAATAAACTCTTTTATCCTATTAAATCTGTTGTTAGATATTTATATCATCTGGCTAAAGTGGGGTACAATAACCGGTGCATGCCACGGCTAATTTGGACGCAAGGAACATGTTATAATCGATTAAATATAATGATAGTATAAATATTAGTTAATAAAGCGTGGCTTAGCTAAGTTAGAAGTGGGCTATAAGTACAGCTTGGGACCATTTAGTAGATAAGTCCCCACTCTACTCTCCTATATATCATGGAGTTTGGTCTTGTAGGTGAGCCATACCTAACTATAACTCCTATAGATGTTGGTGGCATTTTTATTTTCCTTTTTGTTCCAATTAAAATTTGCTTTTTTTTCGTAGAAGATGGAGCATGAATAAACGCGCGACTGGTTAATTTTGTAGGCCAACAACTTGGTTAAGTTTCAAAACTGAAGTGATAGAAACCTATCAACAATATAACTGGTTCATGGATTTAATTTAACCTATCTTAGAGGTTAAGATGATGGACCATTCCCATCACAATGAAGTACTAGATTGGTCCATCACCTACAAACCATTACAACTCCCTGCTCTACTTCTTAGCCCCTTTTCAACTAGAGATGGCACCTAATTAACTAGGGCCTAAAATTTGTTTTATACGAAAAAACTCAAATTTTGGAAAAAATAATTATTTATATTTTTATTTAAATGGTTGACTCGTCTATCTATGTTATATATTTTTAAAAAAAAGAAAGAGTTCTCCATTTATTGGTGTTACGTTCTCACTCTATTTATAAAAGCTACACTGCACCAACAATCCACAGCGCGCGCACACTGCATATCTCTAATGGAATTTAAAAACATTAAGTTCTTCACGGCAGCGCCACCGTCGGCATGGCGGCGACAGGTGGCTCCACCATTGATATCTCCCAAGCAAGAGCTTCATGACATGGCTGAGAAATTACCCGCTCCATCCATTATCAAAGTCACACTACCCACCCCAAAACCGAGACCGTCAGTACCACCACAGCTTCCACTGCGTGGAAATGATGCGGACCGGCTTACGAAGGTAGACGGAGGAGGGCGGAGGATAAGAATACCGGCAACATGTGCCGCCAGAGTCTTCCAGCTTACTCGTGAACTCGGTCACAAAACCGACGGCGAAACTATTCAGTGGCTCTTAGAACGTGCTGAACCGTCCATCCTCTCTGCCACTGGCACTGGCGTTACCGCCGTTTCAATTAACGGCACCACCAAAATCCCCACCACTGATAATAATGACACTTTAACGGGCAAACGCAAACGTTGTGATTGTGTTAACGTTAAATTAAACGACGTTAAACAAAGAAATAATCATCCAATTACAACAATTAGGGAAAATGATGCAAACTTACCTAACAAAATGGCAACAATTTTAGCTCCGGTGATGTCAATAGTACCACCTCAGGCAATAATGCCAGTGGGATCAATGTTTCCTGTTCCGGCGAGAATAAACTCGAGTATGGCAGCACCGTCAACAGTTTGGTTAATTCAGCAAACACCATTGATACCATCAACAAGGCAAAGTGCAGCTCAGGTGAATTGTGTTAGTGTTAGGCCAGCAGCTACTTTCTTCGGTGTTCCAAATGCGTCACTCATTCCTGCTTCTGCTACCGACGTCTGCTCCTCCCACTCTTCCGGTCATTGTTGATTGTGCTGAATCAAGAGTCTAGAATGATCACGCCAAATTCATTGTTCATTATTGACCACACAGGAATCTAAAGCTAATGATCACTTTAATAATCAACTGTAACTCTTCTTCCATGATAACTGTTGCTTTGAAAATTCCTCAGATCTTTTATTTCCTCCGATTAATAGTTCAATCCATGACCAAAATTCACAAATTGTAGTTATAGCTAGTACAGATTCTCAAAATCATCTGAAGATTAAAAAAATGTGAACTGTACAACTTGTACTATACTCAACGGGATCACCATCTTCCTCTGCCTAATTGTTAACTGTATTGCAATCAGGGATGTATTAGCTTTTTCTGGGTTCAAAAATCTGAACGGGTGATGTAAAGAGAGAGAGAAAAAAAAAGGGAAATCAAATGGTAAGATTTTCTTGAATTGCCAGGAATGATCCTATTATGTTTCCACCAACATCTGGGAAATTTGCACATCCCGTAAGATTCTTCACCTTGCCTTTGCGATCAACTTCAACGGGGTATTTTAAGAGGTGCCCTCTCATTTCTGTTACTTCATCAGATGCGAATTGCTTCCAGTTATATTCACCCATGGACCTAACCCGTCTTACACATTCTAATGACTCCGGCTGTCTGAAGCAGTCCTCAACAACTCCGAGATGCTCCGCCCACAGAGACATTCTATATCCATGAATCTGCAGAAGATAAATTTGCACAGACAACGGCAAGCGGATCAGATGCACACACACATACAAACTCTTTTAGCTTTAACCTAGGGTTGGTCATAGAGAAAGGAGCTTAAAGAGTTGTTTGTCCTTAAATCTTCTGATTATACAAAGGCTCAAGGAATTGATTGTGGTGAATAGATACAGACAACTTAAAAGGCTCAAGGAATTGATTGATTGATTGATTGAAACTAGTAATTGAGTGATTGATACTAAGGCACATAAGCGATAACTGTAGCAATTCCTCTTTCTTTCTCAGAGTGCATACTTTGGTTCATTTCTATCTACAATATCAGCTTAGCACACACATCAAAAAAGTATCATATGATGTTTAAGTAATGTTTTTCATGGATTGATAAATGTAACCAAATTATTTTAGCACAAATACTGAATTTGCTAATCACCTGTCCATAGGGTGTTGACTGTTTTCTTGCCCATGTATGATGAGGTTGATATGCTCCCATCGCGATCTCGGTGTCTCTAGTGCCCTCCAGAGAGCGCTGGTTGATGTTTGCAGATCCCAATATCACATACTCATCATCCACAATCATGCCTTTTGAATGAACATAAATCATGAATCTACGGGATTTTTGGCTGAACGCCTGCAACAACATATTCAAATCATTAACTCTGACACTGATCAATAGTATGCAGAGCAAGACAGGTCGAGGGCACAGTTTTAGAACACAGGAGGAAACTTGCCAGAGAGCTAGTAATTTGTGTTTTAAAACTTGAAGTCTGTACTTCAAAAAAAAAAACATCTTGCGACGGCCAATTAGAAAAAAAAAAGAGAATTTGAATAAAATGAAAATAAAGAGAATCTTCAACAAGTAGGTAAGTATACAAACTGTCACGACATAATTAGAATTTTTCAGATTATTTATTTAGGATAATAGGCAAGTACCTGAGGAGTGTTTGCTGCGCTAGGACTCTCATTTCCCTCAACTTTACCAGCCTCGCGGTTACCAAGACAGTAGAAGTTCAAATAATCTTCCGGAGAGCATGAATTCTCAAGCCCAACCTCCTCTAAAGCCTTGTAAATAGTCTCATACATCATTTGCATTGTCTTGTTCTGCAAACCAACATAGAGACACGGGGTTTCACTAACACAACTTGTAATAATCTGAGAGCAGTTGATTGTTCGATTAACTGAATGCATATGCTAGCATCCTTAGTATGGCACGATTTTCTCACCATCAACTCAAGCAGTTTAAACTTTAAGTAGCTTTACCTGCCAATATAGTATTCTCTGTGTAGCAGCACCAGTTGGATTACCCTCTGGCCACATTGGGAGGACAATGTATGCTGCAAACCTCTCATGCGCTCTTATCTTTTCAGCTATTTTAAGTGCAATTTCCATGGGAATCAGATTATTTGCACCTGCAGGCAGCACACAGGTAATTCAAATATTGGAATTGCTGACTACCAGAAGATAACTATATTCTTTCCATGATATGTAAAACTGTTAGCAGGCAGACTCAGCGCTTCTCCACTTAAACACCACGCTTAGTTCACGTGATGCAAGGCCTCTTACCCTCTTGACACTGCAACCCCCCCCCCCTCCCCCCCCCCCCAAAAAAAAAAACCCAACACACGCACACACAAAATAAAGGAATATGCCTCTTACCCTGTTACTTTCATTACTGTAATAACTTCTGAGTTGTCTCTCCAGAAAATATTCACTTCCCTGTCTTTTAGGATTATGCACAAAATGCTACTCCTTTCGTACCAATTATGTGGTGTTGTCTGACTGGACATGGAGTTTAAGAAATATGGGCAGACTTTGCGATATTCCAAAACTACCCTTAAAATAAATGAAATTTTTAATAGAAGAGTACATCTTTTTTGGACTTTTTGCCAAATAAGTGGGACCGAATATGGGTAAAATGTTGATAGTGCCATTAAATATGTGTCAAATTAGGAAATGTGTCATTCTTTTAAGAGCTGAGTAAACAGGAAAGTATGTTAGAGGGAGTAATAAATTGGTTTTGATAAATAAACAAACAGCTAGAAAAGAACCAGGTCTCTTGGAGTGAGCTATTGGTTATGTTGTCAACTGGATTCCAGGAATGCTACGTAGATATCGTAAGAACCATGTTTTTAGATGACTGCTGATCAGAAGCTGCAAAGCTAATTCCTACTGCAAGTTGGATTCTTTGAAGAATTAGGTTCATGGGCTACACATGTTGCATCAAGGAATTCGTGAAAAACAAGAATATATTGATACAATTGGACAAAAGGAAGGAAATTAAGAAACAGGAGAAAACATGTGGAGGTCAAAGAAAATGAGGCAACCAAGTCCAAGTAGGATTGGATTCCTTAACCAAAATACTTATGGTTTTGGAGAATAAAGTGCAAAAGAATTTGACCAACCTCACTCCTACATAAAGCACCATATTGTTGTCATTGGAGGCTAGTTCTATTTCTTAAAAATATGATTATTGCTCTTGATAAATAGCAGTCATTGCAAGAAGGTGTTGATTCAAGCTACTCAACAAAAGAACCTGTTCCAGAAGAATAAGTTGTTTAGTTCTTGAGTTGGTTAGGCTCGAGTGTTTGGTTCTAAATTGTAACCTATTTTTCTTTTCAGAAGTATTATTGTAGATGATCAATTGTGAAGTTCATTTGGTTTCTAGAGTAGACTAGGAGTATAGTATTGAAAGGGATTGCTACAATTGGGTTGATTGTAGAGGACCATCAGAAATTTGTGGGTGGCTCTAAAAAGCAACTCAAAGATTATTGTGAGCAGAGGAGATAAACTAAGTTCTGAACAGATGACGGGTGTGGCAATGGGATTCTAAGGGACCTGTTCCTGGTCTTCTCCCAATATGCACAAACCCTGATGGCAAATCAGAGGAGATATGGTCGGAACCTAGTATTCCAAAGGTTGATTAATGACTGGGAGATTGATTGAGTGGTGAAGTTCTTGAGCTTTGATCAGTGGATTCCTTGGTACTACTCTAGAGCCAGACAAATAAGCATGGAGACATCACAAATATGGGATGTTTTCTGTGAACAGACTGTCCAATTGGGGACTTAGAGAAAGTGCAGGAAGAGAGGCATCAACTTAGGATCTAGATGCCTCCTTTGTAAAGAGGCTCTGGAGACTAACAAGCACCCAGTAATGCATTGTAAGGTTACTGCTCAGGTGTGGGTTCTGTTTACTAACACAGTCAATGGATACTGGACTATGCCAGAACACACTTCTAACCTCCTAAGTTGTTGGATCAAAAGGGGAGGCAGTAGAAGTCAGAAGAGATGGTGGAGAACAGTTCCAGCATGTATTTGGTGGAAAGGAATCAAAGAATTTTTTAAGGGAAGGAGTGTACAATATAGAAGATCAAATGGAAAGTAATTACTACTCTAGGCTTTTGGTGTAAAACAGGATATAGAGGATGAGATCCAATTAGTGGACTTCATAGGATCTTTGTAAGTATTTATATATTTTTCTTTTCTTGTAATCATCTTTTGGAGGTGGCCAACATACCTTAATGCTGAGGAATACAAAAAGTTACCAGTTTAAAAAAAAGGTACTAGAGTTTATAGTCCCTTTGATTATAGAATTGTAACCTAAAACTGCTCCTCCTGAAGTCAATGATGTTTTGAGGTAAATTCAACAAGTGTAGGTCGTGTTTCATTACTCCCTTGAGTAAGAAGTTCTCCACATAGAACTACTTGCGCACTTTAATTTCCGCACTTCACATTCTGTTTGTGTCTAGTTTACTTACGTTTAACCGCGAAAATTGGGCAAGACACAATTTACCCCCTCTTGGGTGTAGGTGTATTGGTAAAATAACAATAAGCAGGATAAATTTCCCTAATAAAGTACCAAGAAGGTACTCCAAAAAGGAGTTAAAACATTGCTCGTTACAATTACACACCCTCAAAGTCTAGAAAATCAAAATAATGAGACATATTATCTATCATATAACTCCTACAACCAAAAGTATGGAATCTGTAGGCATCTATATTCTTTAGGGGGAAAATTATGTTTTTGATCTTCAAAGCATCTCTTATTTCCTCTCTGACCTAATAGTCGTTTTGCATATCTGTTTCCATCTTCTATTCATTTTTTGAGTCTGCCATCATTAAATGACACCTCCAATAATTTGTGGCATCACCCAATGCACCACACAAATGCTTTGGTTTGAGTCTCAAATGCTAAGTTATATCCTTGTGTGTGATTTTCAGTTAGGTAAGGGGAAGCCTGAAATTCTATTTAATATGTTAATCAATCTGATCTAATCTCGCAAGTACAAGAAAATTTTCGTCATTTCCAACCCTTCTCAGCCCGACATGATAAAGAAGACAAGCATACAAAAGGATTAGAAAGATGATGATATATTAGCCATAACATAAAGCTGGTTATGTCAAAACTCAAGGACATAAGCTATTTACGTGATTCATGCAGGTGTCTCAACAGGTAATCTTTAGTGGACCTAAATCAACTATGAAAAAGAGAGAACTAGCAAATATAAACAGTTAGATGCATCAGAATTTACTATCCATACTTGTGTGCCGGCAACATTACACAAAAACTTCTGAAGTGTTTAGTTCTATTTACTTTTGGTGTAAACATAGTTAATTAACTCAAACAGAAACATCTTTGATATTCTAGATTGTTTGTAGGCAACAGATATAGTTTTGAGCCTTGATAAATTGTAATACTTTTGAAGGGAAACTCACTTTTGGTTGTAGTATGCCTGTGGATATATAGGAGTAAGGTTACCAGTTTTAAAAAAAAAAACAGACAAAAACTTGCAGAACCTATGCACAAACCCAGCCATTATTTGGTGCCAAAACACTTATATCTCCAGCTAGTACCTTCACTATCCTTGTGCTGTGCCAAAGAGCCATGTCTCCCACATAGTGAGCTGCCCTCCCAAAGAATCCTCTGCATATGCAGTTGATTGGACTTGAAACTCAGGAATGAGCTTGACATTGGATCCATTAGTGGGTAACAAGGATGTAAAGGTACCATAAAAGTTATTGCGGCAAAGTAGTAGTGTCTACTCAGAGATGCACATAGGCCACGAATAGTATTTTTTTTCTTTTCATGATGACGGTGGTGTCCAGGCCAGCTTGAGCGTAGCTCAACTATTCTATCGGGTGCCTGCTACTTCCCACTAGCACAGGCACCGACAAACTTTGCCAACCAAGGGTTGGACATATGAGAAGAATTGACCTAATGTTTTTGCCTCCACTGAGCATGAATAATATATTTTTAAATATACTCCGATGGCTATTCTATAATAAGAAGCAAATGACAATGATGGATTTGCTTGTTCGATGTATTCAGAAATTGGCAAATATTTATACACAGCATAAAAACAGCTTCTCACCAACATCTTTATGTTGACTCCAGTTGTATGAAGAACCAATGAAATATTGATTTTCGATGTAAACGAAGTGTTGAGCAGCACGGATAGCCTTCACATATGCTGTGTGTATGCTCATGTCAATAAGTACATTTTTACCACACACCAAGTTCTGCAAAAAAAGATGGGGAAAAACGAGTTTACTTTAAATTAGTAAATAAGTACTCCCTCCATCCCATCTTATACAATGCACTTTGACTATGCACCGATACTTTTGGAACTTGTGGTCTAAAACAAGCCATAAATATTTGTGTGGGTACAAATTACCTCATTAAGGGAAAAAATGGAGGTTTCAAGTTAAATTGTTTTAATATAGAATGGTATCATTTTTGTTGGATAGACTAAAAAGGAAAATGCATCTCATAAATTGGTATAGAAGGAGAATATGTTTTGGTGCACACAAACAATCCGTCCATCTATCATTCTCACCTTCATTGTAGCTTCTTTAGGATCCTTTGGAAAGCCTTTGACCGAGTTCGAGTCAATTGAACGAAATATCTGCTTAATGGTTGAAAAAAGAATATATGACTCTAAGATCAAAGACAACACACAAATTAAACTTCTAAGATGTTGATATTAAGTTAATCACTCAACCTGTACATGCCAACCGTTAGGGTCATCACTGCTCACAGATGGAGCATCAGAGATACCGACAATTTCAGGCATTCTTTCAATTCGAAGCAAATCATCCTCAAATGATGTCTTCAACTTTCTAATGCCATGAGGCTTTGAAGCCTTCAACCAGCGTTCCTCAAAGTTTGTGAGAACATCATATGCTGCTGGACCATCAATTTTAGAGTGCAAGTCATGCCATGGTTCTCTTGGACAACCAGCTGTACTCCCCTGTTAAGTACAGGTATGGATTACTATCTAAGCAAACATGTAACTTGAGGGGGGAAAGGTAATTGATGAGAAGCCAACCTCTTCATCCAAGAAATATATCAAAAAAGAAAAAACACAATGAAAGGTAAGTAATAAGACAGAAGTTTTCATCAGAAGATGCATGTTCAACTTAATAATTGTGATTGTAAAGTTTAGTAAAACAAATTAAGTTGATGCAGTTCACTACTGATCAGTATGTAAAATCTTCTCCTGGTGCAAAGTTGAATTATATAGACTAAAGATAAGTACTAATGCAAGAACTGAATGTCAACAGAGGAAGATGTAGAAAGATAAGTCTCATTCTCTTCGCTTGACCAAAATTTTTAATCTGATCCAAAGGTTGAAAATGGTATAAGCATTTAACAGTATTGGTCTAAATCAGTCTTCATTTTTCTAAAATGCTAGACCGTACTTTAACCAGACATGGTCAGTAAGATAGTAGTCGAAAATGTATTTCTAATATTATTTGGAAATAAGGACGAAGTGTCAGATCTTAAATTACTCCAGTGAAATAAATGGTTCTCCTTTAACTTGTTGAACAGGGACATCAAAACAGGGGAACAATGATTTTCATTTCGATATCAGGAAGAGATTTTCAACTAGATGGTTTGGTACAGGAACCACAAATGGCAATAACCTGATGTCTGGTCATTATCATAATATATAACAGTTCTTACACTAAATAAGTTTTTAAAGAAGACGAGATTCACTAATTGAAAACCTAAACTGCTTCAGTTTCACAGACAAAAAAAAACTCCAACTATTGTTGATATGTATACCCATTATTTCTACGTTAGCTAGGGTTGGCCAAGCTCAAAGATATTGAAGGTACTGATACCTTGGGGTAAGAGAATCCTAAAGAATTAAAAAATAACCAAGTTTTGTACTGTCTGTATTACTGACAAATCCTATATAGTTAGAACTTGCAAGTAACCAAGAAAAACTCATTGCGAAGATTGTCATACTTGTTCATATAACTAGAATATGCAGTGGAAATCAGAAAATTAACAACGGCAATTAATGTCTCTGAAATCAAACAAAAGGATATTAAGGATGATAAGTTACGGCATAAGTAGGGTTATGATAGTCCTCAGAGTGCACTGTCTTTAATGTTCGAAATAAAGGATGCTCCGGAGTATCATATCTCCCATCACACAAGTCAAGTCCTCCAACAAATGCTACGATTTTTCTTCGATTGTTGCCGGCATCAGCATCTATTATCACAGTTTTCTGATGATGTGTATAAATTACTCCAACTTCCTGCACACCAAAACTCACAAGAGATTGGGCTAATGGAGAGTATTTAAGATAATTAACTTAATTGAAGTAGTCCAGCAATATAACAGCATCAGACATCATCAAATGTACCTTAGTGGTAACGATCAAAAGTTTTCAACTCTTAAAATATACTGAGAAGATGCATGCCATACAAAAATAATATCAAACGAAATTATTCTATCCACATGATAAGGGACTCAGGGCACACCTTCAGTGATCGGTACCAGAAAATGTCAGCAAAGAAACATAGAGGGAAGGAAGAAATGAAATGCAGTCAAACGAGATTTATTGTTCAAACAAGCTTTACTATGGGGGGAGGGGGGGATTCTTACTTAGATGATTGGTCCTCGCATTCAAAAGACAATATGGGATTAATACTAGGAGAAACTATAAGCTCAATAAAAACCGTATGGAAAAAGGAAGTTATTCATCCACTGAACAAGGAAGCTAATATAAAAACAAATATGCAAGTATACATTTCTAGATGTATTAGAACAGTGAATGATGCTCAATGGCAATGATTCTAAACTAGAATTCCTGCAGGGCTACTGATCTCAAGTAAATCTTTTTGATAACTGGTCTCAAATGACTTACCACAGAAAGAATCATTGAAAGAAATGTCAAAATCTAACTTACCCTCTGCTTGACCCAACTGTGGCGCTTCCCTGCTACTCGAGGACAAAGCAGCACTTTCACGGAAGAATGCTTGAAAAAACTGCGAGTCTCTTCATCATGGGTTGCCATAACACCATCCTGCAGCTCAAAGTTAAGCATTTAAAACTACAATTAATGACGCCTTTGGGGACAATCTAGAGAAAATAACAAGAAGATAAAAACAGAAATTGGTTAGAGTGCCAACACCTATTAGCATTGCTTAAAAATGCTAAAATAGAAGTCCGTCATCAAATAATCTTACTGAAATAAATAAATATCAAGATATGAATAGGCTGCAAGTATAACAGAACCAAAATCTACCTTGCACATCCAGGACATGGATTCTTTCCAGTTGTCTTAGTTGATGCACTATTTTTCATGCTGAAAAAAGATAAACTTGCCCTTGATGGTAATTTGACTTGGCAGTCACGAAACATTAACTTAAAGAGGCTTCTAATTTACTTTATTAATAAATTGTCTATGAATGTATATAATGGTATTTTAACAGATTAATAGTTAAAATTCTGAGTAGAAGGGTTGTTGAGTAACTAACAGCATATAAGCAGATGATGTGTGCATAGGATACATGTACGATTTCACATTATCTTTTCTCCGGACATTTTAAATGATTGTTTGGAAAAGGAATATAAACAAACCTATATCTGAGGCATGTTGTTGATAACAACTTAAGACACTGAAATTCAATCTAATATTCAGATGGTGCTTGAGTATTAATTTTATGCACATAAGAAAGTCAGAAGTTCAATATAATTATGTTATCATTTACCGTTTTATAGCCAAGGATGCTTCTTGATGTAGGGTCATCCCATATTAGAAGCAGCACTCTAACACCTTCTTGTGACTTTAACTTTAAAAGATCCCCGAGAGTGCAACCTTCAGCAGAAGCATCATCTCGAACAAGTTTGACTTTGTGCCATACTGACCAACCTGTAATGTAGATCAACCGTCGGGCTTGGCGTATGGCGTCAAAGATGTCACGCCAACACTTCCCATGTACATATTGCATTCCATAGTCAAGCATCACATTTGGAAGGCATCCATCAGGCACATGAGCATCTTGATACAGAGTAACTGTTCCACCCATCCGCAGTGGAAAATAAGTTCCAGGAACCCCATAATACTCAGGACCAGCACCAACTCCATGATGGTAAAAACTTAATTTATCCATTGGATAATATTGGACTGATATCCTCAAAACTGCTCCAGCCTTGCAAGGTCTTCCACTACTGTTCAGGATCGGAAAGAACCCCTCTACTTTACCCCCTCCATATATCTGTTCTAGAGGGACAGCCACTGTCCCCATAAGCTGAGAACCTACTATATCATCGTCCTTGACAAGAAATTGTACTTCCGCTGCATAGTGTGCAACAGGGACATTAAAATGTTGCATCCACACGGGATTTTCGTTATTGTTTATGACATAAGTCCGGCCAATCGTTGCATCCGCTATATTAATTGAGACGTACGGATCACTTGTGATCTTATTACTCATTTGGCCAAACATATCCCCAATGGTTTTGTGGAACATGTCCATGTTTGGGAGATTTTTTGCTTCGTATACCCAAATTTCCAGATTTCCATGTAAGAGCAAAACTTTCAAAGAGCTTTTGGAAGGCATGAATGGCACAACCTGCATAGCTTGAGTATTCTGTGGTTCAGCACATGAAGTTGGATAGGTTGGTTTTGCTGACTCAGCTTCCCATCTTGAAAAGGATGAATTAGGGTGTCCATAAATATTCCCTTGAGCATTGTAGTTTGCGGGAACAGGGTTCGGGCCCGCGTGATAAGTTGCAGGGGAACTAGGAACTGATGCTGATGCAGGGGCAGGAGGAGAAGCATGTGAAGGGTGATTTTCAGACAAACTCATATTTGCAACAAGATCATGTATTGGTGGATAAGCTGAAGGGCGAGTGGAGGAGTCATCTTTACCATAATCATAGCCTGCCCCAGAACTACTAATAGATGAAACACTATCCTGGCGATGGAGAGAGTCATGAACTTTGGATGGTTGGCTCTCCAAAGGCCTTTCTGGCCAGGAATGTTGATAATGCTGAGGTGAAGCATAATGGTAACTGCCTTGATGTTCAGAAGTAGGCACAGTAGATGTTGGGGGAGGTGGATATGCATGGGCTGGATAGGGAGGAGAGGCACCAGGTGATGCCGAAGGGTAACCATACTCGAAAGAGCTGGAGTGATGGAGAGTGGGCGCTGGAGGTGCTGATGGAGCTGATGGACCTGGTGGATAGGGATGATAGTTATAATGACCAGAATGTTGAGTGTTGTAAGGGGGAGGATATTGAGGGGATTGATGTGGATATGGATATGCACCAGAACCTTGCGGAGGATATGCACCAGAACCTGGTGGGGGATATGCACCAGAACCTAGTGGAGGATATGCACCAGAGCTAGGAGGGGGGTATGGTTGATTTGAAGGTGGTGGAGGGTAGCCATAACCAGTGTTATATGGGTATGAATGTGAATAATTGTTATAATTGTCCATCAGTACACACTACCAGGTTGCACTAGTCTCGTTCTTTGGTGTACACTAACATACAAACTGATCAAACCAAACCAATAAATGAAGAAACAAGAAGGTCTATCCAAGATCCGGAATTTTACCCAAATTCAACACACCATTACATAAAACAAGCTTAAACAAACTTCCTTGCCTCTTTTGGAAGAGGGGATTGCCAAAGATAGATGTTCTAAACAAAATACATAAAATTGCTCATGTTAAGAAATCGATTTTATGGGGTCGTTGAATCTTGAAATATATTCATAATGTGAAAGAAAAATAGAAGGTAATTCAGCAATGAAACGCAAAAGATGAAGAAAAGATAGTACCTTTTGACTAATTACTTAAAAGAAAAAGATCACACAGAATAACAGGATCATGTGAGAAAGGAGAAGATTCCCAGAAATGACAGCAATTGAACTTTGTGCCACAAAAATGGCGAATTAGTGCGTGTAGGTGACGCGTTTAAGGTGTTTCGGAGAGATTGAAGAATGACAGGGATTCAGGGTGGGTGCCGTTATCTTGACAGAGACCGAAGGGTTCTTTGACGGTGAGAGACTTTTTCTGCTACTTTGCACTTTAACAGCGTCATTGCTGGCAGTTTCATACAAATAAACTACAACAAATTACAAATATTAACACTAAAAAAGCATAATTAATGTCATTTAATTTGACATCAATTAATATATATATCTAAAAATTGTCTAATTATAGATGTGCTATATAAACACGTGAATTTGTACGTAGTGGAATACATCCTTTTTTTATTATATTATTTATTTATCGAATATTTTTTAATTTTGATATTTTCTTTTACTTTAGTTTTTTTTAACAAATCAAGAAAGAATAATATTTTTTTTATATTATGGGTGTGTTTGGTATAAAGCAAAATATTTTTTGGAATATGTTTTTTAATTTTCTCATATTTGGTTGAATTAAAAATTTTGAAAAATATTTTTCAAATCAATTCAATTTCCTTTAAATTAAGAAACTGATTTCTTCAATTTTTCTCCAACTTTAAATTACATTATTTTGTTTAAAAAATAAATTTAAAACTTATTTTAAAAAATATTTCAAATTTCAAATTTTTATTTTTTCACTATGTCCCTACCCTCCCCCCCCCCCCACCCCTCCAAACAAATTAAGTTTTTTAAAAAAATATTTCAATTATAAGTTATTATTTTTCACCCCCACCCCGACCAGTCATTACCCTCTCAAAAAATTAAGTTATTTTTAAAAAATATTTTTTATTTCAAATTTTTATTTTTTCACCTCATTCCTACCCGTGATCCCATTACCAGCCCCCACTCCCCTCCTTTTCAATTTCAAAATTTCATTTTTTTCACCTCTACCCCTCACCCCTCCCAAAATAAATTTTGAGCTTATTTTTAAAAATATTTTAAATTTTAAATTTTTATTTTTTCACTTCCAATCTCCACCCAAAAATAATAAATTTTTTCATTAAAAAAATTGAAAAATTATACACCAAACATGAGAAAATAACTCAAAAATCTATTTGTTTAACAGCAAAACATTTTTCTTCATATCAAATACACTCTATATCTCAGTTAATTAACATTGAGTTAATGTGATTAGTGACTAAATATATTCGGGACTAATCAATGAATAAGGACAAAATGATAAACTCACTATATCAATCATTATTCTTTTAATACGTGTGTCAACTCAAAACATGACAAGTAAAAAGGGACTAAGGAGATAAATAGGTATACATTTCCTACGTGATGTTATGTGTATATGTCATGTAGAACTGTACGTCTATTTCTTTGATTTTATTGTGTTTAAATATCTATTTCGTGCACACTTAAAATTAAAAAACAACTAAACTCAAATTAAATAGCATAATTATGCTAATTAAAAATCAAAGTATGGGCATATTTTTGTTGAGTTTAATTTTGCCACAGTATAAGATCTTTTGATTTGTCTTGTGATGGCGTCATTTGTTCAAGAATCTGGTAAACCACTTTAACTTATTTGATTATTGTATTTTAAGTTTTTAATTTGAGTGTTAAAATATTTAATTCATCTTAAATTCAATAAACAAGTTAGATTATCAAACAGCTGATGAGTTCAACCAATTTTAGACTTTTAGCTCTTACTTTTGGTTCTAAATTTTTTTTTAAATGAACTAAGTGATGTAATGGTAACGTTACTTTATGAATATGTGGGCTTTTCTTTATTTTAGGCTAATCAACGGTCAATATAATAAGTTGTAAAAGCCAAATTGAAGTGTATTAAGCTTGCATTTTCTTTGTAATGATTAAAATGTTTGAATACAAATAAATATATATATATGATTATTCAGAAGTAATATACTTTGAAGAATAACTAATTAATAACATTCATTTTTTAGTTCATTTTCTCCTCTGAATATTAAAATTTTAAATATAAATTCAAATAAAATAAAATACTAATCAATCTAATATTATCAACAAAATATTAGAGAAATAATTTTATATAGTCGTTATTGACGATTTTTGATTGTCGATAATGATGACTAATTAACGGCGATTGTTGATAATTATGGTGAATAACTAATAGTAGTGTCGATAAATATGGTTGGAAAAATATGAAGGATAACAAGTTTCATTTGTATCACTAACCAAATGTCTACACAAGGCAAAATTGTGTCATTTTATGAAGAAAAAAAGCTTATAGTGGAATACTTCAAATGTCTCAAATAGAAGAAATGAAAATGGCTTGAATGTTTCAGTGTGTTAGGCTCCTTCTTTGGCCAATAAGGTCAAATTTTTTTCTTTTTCTTTGAAAACTGCAATACAGTATTTGATTATACTATAGTTAGTTTATTCAGAAGAATACATTGACAGTTTCAAGAATTGGATCAAATTTTCCCTACTTTGAGTTACTGCCAAGTGACAGCAATGGGACTTCTAACTATATGTGTTCTTGAAATCCACGTCAGTGAACCAAATGTTGAATCAGCAGGACTCCTTTTTCCCTTTGTAACAAACCTCACTTTGTATCTCAGTTTCTGTCCCTTTTTATGAAATTTCAGAATTTTTGGCTTCACAGTGACTGATACTCCATAAGGTGTCTTCACTTGTACAATGTAAGTACTCCTAGGGGTCCCAACATTTGTCACAGTTCTTTTAAATGTCTGGATCAGATGTTGGTTGTTGCTGTCGAAAAGTACAGAGAAAGAAGGGTAGTTGAGATTACCAAGTGATTGAAATGAATGACTAGGACAAGTATAATTTTCTCTCAACAAAAGGGCTATTTGGGAAGAGTTGTAGTTTAGGCTACAGATATAATGTAGGTAATCTTCGGTTGAGATATCGTAGATAAGGCCTGGATCAGAAGCTCTTTCAGGATCAACATGTCCTGAGCCAAAGACGAATGGTGTAGCTGATAGTGAAGTTTCGGAAACAGCATCTGCAATTGGAGTTCTTTTTTTGTCAAGGGTATAAGCAGTTGTCATTAGTGCTGACTTGATTGCTGCTGGTGACCAATCTCTATGGACTGATTTAAGCAATGCAGCTAGTCCACTGACATGAGGGCAAGACATGGAAGTGCCAGAAAGAATGTTGAATTGCACGCTTCTCTTATCGCTCTTTAGCATTGATGGGCTGATATTTGGAGGCCAGGCAGCTAATATGTCCACACCTGGAGCAGTAACATCCGGCTTGATAATATCCGGTCCAGCTGCACTAGGTCCTCTAGAGGAAAAGGCAGCCACTACTGGTGCGCGATTGCCATAAACTGTTCCCTCGAATTTGATTGAAGCTGTGGCTGTTTTTGTCAAGTTAATGTACTTCTTGATAGCAATGCCAGCTGAAGCTCCCAAGGATGTGGCAGGCAGGACATGAGCATCGGCATAAAGTTCATCGCCCTCTTCAACTCTATTTACCATAATCATTCCAGCCCCACCAGCTAACTTCACTTGCTCTCCCTTTTCAGCTCTGCCATTGATTCCTTTCTCACAGACAACAATCTTGCCTTTGACTAATCTTGAAGATAGTGTCTCATTGGTGCAAAATTGAGCTCCTTCCCCGCCTGCCGTTCTTCCATAAACAAGTGGCAATTGCATTGTAGGCTTGCCTACGTACAATGAAGCCCCTTTAAAAACATGTCCATTTCCAAGCTTTACAATAGTTGGAAAGCTGCGGTCCAACGAGCTTGCAGCAACAGTCATAATCCAAGGTGCTGCATTGCCAACAGTTGAACTCAAAGGCCCTGAATTTCCTGCTGAACATGACACAAAGACCCCATGTTGGACCGCACCAAATGCAGCAATCGCTATATTATCAATATAAAATGGCTTTGGCAAGCCTCCTAAAGAAAGTGACAATACATCCACCCCATCAATAACAGCTTGATCAATAGCTGCTAATACATCAGAGCTTGAGCAACCTAACATGAAACAAGCTTTGTA